ATATATGAGGAAATCCAATCCAAATCGACCATTTTACGTCACAAAAAAAAATTAAAATTTTTTTTGAGGCACACCTTTGCAATAAATTTTTTCTTGTTCTATGTACCCTCAGAAATAAGGGAAAAATAGTGTGCAAGAAATTCAGGCTTTGTGACATTGTTTTTCACGACTCTGAAGATTTTAATCATTGATTTTCGAAAAGAGTGCATGATTCCCCGGGACACAGGTACTCTCGCGTACTGTATAGACTACTTGACATGGGCTAATGGGGACTTAGATGTATATCTAAGGTAAATCGGGGGTGCTGAACACAATGAACATGGTTACAAATCGATATCTCGATTACTTTTCGAGATATCGATATAACGAGCAACATAATCTAAAAATTACGGGGCGAAAAAAATTTTTTTTTTTTTTGAGGCACACCTTTGAACCAAATTTTTTCTTGCTGTATATACCTCCAGAAACAAGGAAAAAATTGTGTACAAGTACTTTGGGCTTTGTGACACAGTGTTTTTTATGGCTCCGAAGGGTATAATACTTGATATTTCAAAAATACTAAGTGAACATGATACGTGCGACTTGTACTGCGTTTTTAAAGCAGCTTGTCGTTTTTATACTATACCATTTTCAATCCGATGGACCATCGACACAGTACAAAAATAAAATTAATTTCTATCTACTGCATTTTTTCTGTAATAAACTAAATCTAACAAGCGCTACATGGAATTTTACAGCTGCTGGTCATGGCAAAAGTATAGCTGATGCGATTGGAGGTACTGTTAAAGAAATGTGTGATAGACATGTTACTTTTGGCCATGATATTTTATGTGCAAATGATATGGTACAATGCATAAATAATTCTAGCAGCAAAATAAATTCATTTTGTATCGATGAAGAAAAAATTAAAATGATTGATAGTCTTGTTCCCGAAGATTTAAAGCCAGTTCCAGCAACTTCAAAAGTTCATCAAGTTATGTGGTCCAAGTCTAACAGTAAAAGTTTGTCATTCAATTATTTATCGTGCTCTCATTGTAATATAGATACTGGTTGCGAACATTATAAGATTGATAGTGTAGTTACATATGATGCGAAAGAAATTGTAAATAATGATGCTAAAAGTAAGAATATTTCACCGTTTCAATCAACAAAAAATTTCAAAGTTGGAGAGTGGGTAGTAGTAATATACGACCAGTGGTACCCTGGTCAACTTGAAAAAATTAATAAAAATGCATTAATTGTTAGATTTTTAGAGAGAACAAAAAAAAATTTTCGTTGGCCAAAGAATAATGACGTTTACACTGTATTTCCAACACAAGTACTGTGCAAAATTGATGAGCCGATTCGTATATCAAAAAAAAATATATTTAAAATAAGTGAGCGAGATTATAATGAAATAACTGCTATGTCTAATTCATGCACAATTTATAATCCCTAGTAATTTATTATAACTTCAATACTTACTGTTAAGTTATGTGAGTTATTATAAGATAATAAATAATTAATCTAAAACTATATGGTAATATTTATTCAAACTTGAAAAAATTGGTAATTTTTTTTTTTTTATGTTTTAACCGAAAACTTGATAAATTCAAGCGTCTTTTTGTTAATTAAGTCCTGTTTAATCTAGTCAGGTTCCTCAAAAAAAGAAACTTATCGTGGTATAGTATAAAAACGACAAGCTGCTTTAAAAACGCAGTACAAGTCGCACGTATCATGTTCACTTAGTATTTTTGAAATATCAAGTATTATACCCTTCGGAGCCATAAAAAACACTGTGTCACAAAGCCCAAAGTACTTGTACACAATTTTTTCCTTGTTTCTGGAGGTATATACAGCAAGAAAAAATTTGGTTCAAAGGTGTGCCTCAAAAAAAAAAAAAATTTTTTTTCGCCCCGTAATTTTTAGATTATGTTGCTCGTTATATCGATATCTCGAAAAGTAATCGAGATATCGATTTGTAACCATGTTCATTGTGTTCAGCACCCCCGATTTACCTTAGATATACATCTAAGTCCCCATTAGCCCATGTCAAGTAGTCTATACAGTACGCGAGAGTACCTGTGTCCCGGGGAATCATGCACTCTTTTCGAAAATCAATGATTAAAATCTTCAGAGTCGTGAAAAACAATGTCACAAAGCCTGAATTTCTTGCACACTATTTTTCCCTTATTTCTGAGGGTACATAGAACAAGAAAAAATTTATTGCAAAGGTGTGCCTCAAAAAAAATTTTAATTTTTTTTTGTGACGTAAAATGGTCGATTTGGATTGGATTTCCTCATATGGAATAGCCTCAATTTTTTTTATCCAGAGATTAGTCACGAATTGTCACGGAGATACTGCATTGTATATGTCAACGACATTTGAGATATTACTTCTTATCACAAACTGATGTACCTATTTTTTTTAGACACGGTCAATGTAGTTGGAAGTGCCTCACAGTTAAAGTGTATGTACTTAAACCATAGTAAAAATACTATTTCTAGTGTAAAAATAATTTTTCGACCGAAAATTAGTGTAGTCCGAGATGGTCTCGTATAACATAATTTGTTGTGATTGATAGATGTGTATGTATGTATACACAACTAGTTTGTGGACTATTATTATTTGGAGAGTAACTTTGAGTTTCTAATGGGGACTATAGTAGCTCACATCATTAGACATCGTGCAATATTTTTTTTACAATACAGCGTTCAAAAAAACATAAAAACAGTTTTATGTAATACATAGCCTACATTTTATACATACTACATTCACCGTAAAAAATAAAGATGTTGACCTCAATGGTATAGTACAGTAGAGATAGTCTTATTCGAAATTTTAGGACAAGATGTTCAGTATATGCGGAAGTTTTAAGTTTGTGAAAAAAATAATATTACATGATCAATCGATAAGAATCGAAACGAATTTGTAAATATATCATAGCGTCAGTTACCAACTAACTGATGATACTTTTTGCACAATATAGCATCGTGCTTTGTACAGGAAAACCCGTGGTACTTTGCATGAACAATTCAACCACTTTTTAAGCTTTCATTTCGCATTTCTTTTAACCTTCTTCGTACGGATAAAAGCTCATTTAAATTGCCATCGATTTCAAATGTCACTACACGTGACGAGAGGGTTGTTATTATACTTATAATTTTCATTTCAATAAATACGATTTTAATAATTTACCTCGAATGTCAAGGTCCCGCTCACTATACTGCAGGATAATAAAATGTACTGATTATTACACATTAATTCGTATTATTGATACCATTGTACTGTGACATAACCAGGGGCATTGGAGTATTTTTTTCGTATAATTCACTGGATGCATCAAAATATGCAATAAATTATGACCGAGTGATTTTTGTTTGTCCCTCGAGCTACCGAAGACGCAAGTACACACATGCATATTCAGAACTTATAATAGGCGATTCTATGATAAACCGTGATTATCATTGCAAAGGAGATAAGTATGTAATTCCTACAACTTTCGAGCTGGAATGTTTAACGTCCGAAACGAAAAATCAAAAAAAAAAAAAAAAAAAATCATCAGACGAAGTACGGGGTGAAGGATTTTTTTTATCCGAGTATCGGTAAGTATATTATCTTGTGGCGCAGACGGATTTATCTAGAAAAGTACTCTTGTTTGAAAATCAATCGGTCGAACGATGTGTAGCGTGACACGTGCCCAGACACGTATGTACACGTAAGAAAAGTCCATCCCGCAATAAAGCAACCAAAATATACCACGTCAATCGAAACGCAAGGTATTCGCGTGAGGTCGATCGTCAGATGACGAATGGCGAGGGAAAAAAAAAAAAAAAAAAATCAGCGAGAGGGGCTGTGGCGGACGGGAATATGACTCAAAGTGCTCCACGTGGTCGCGTGATCGGACACATAGCCGCGCCACTCGAATGAGCCACCCTCTCCCCCCTCCGCACGTATCACACCCACGATAAATCACCGATCCGTACTTGTAATTGACGATAACCACCTAGACGCTTACACTCTACATGTTAAAAATTATTATAATTATTATAACGGCGAATGTCCATCGTATATGTACATGCTCAACGATATGTAATATCGTGGAAGACGCGAGCGTCTTATCCGTGCACACAAAAAAATTAACAACACCCAGCGGCACGTGTCCCGCTCGTGTCGGCGCTTCCTCAGTTATAATGTACTCCTCCGGTGTCGATGCGTTCTCACGATTATCGTCGTGCGTTCTTCGCTTTTCCGTGCGCATGTATACATACATACATACATACATATATATATAAAGATATATATATTCATACTTGCACTTCGCGAGAGCTAAAGACGCGTTTCGACATCCGCACGTTTGCGCTGCAGTGTGCAATTTTGCGGTGAGCATATACTTAACTCCGGGGCTGCTTCTCTTCTTGCGTGAGTTTTGTTGAAGTATACGGGGTACCATTTTTTTTTTTTTTCCTTTTCTTTCTTTGAATAAAACATACATACCCCGTGCACTGGCTTAGGTCGCGCGTCACTTTTTGACGCTATCCGCGTTTGGATGACACATGCGCCAACTTTTCCGCTCGGCGAGTTTTTTCTTTCTCTTTTCACTCACGTGATCGCGAAATCTCTACGATTACGTAAAATTGTAACATGTTTTGAAAAAAGCTATCTCGAGAGTCATGTGTCAACTTGTTTTTGCCGATTTCATTTTATATTTAATCATTTGACGAATTCCGGGAGATGTTTTTTTAAGCAGTGCAGACAGACATCGTTATCACGGGGTATACCATTTGGCAAGTGAATAAAAAAAATAGTCGAATTCGTACTGATCACGTGATGCTCGAATGGTAGAAATTCAGCTGCGTCCGATAGTTTTTTTACGAACACGTGGCATTGGTGATGCAGTAAGTATCGCAGTGGTCGGAGTAACAACGAGGACGAACGATGCTGAAATTAACAAATTTCATGAAAATTCCGGGAATGATTATTCTTCCAAAGGCAAAAATAATGAGACAATTCAACTTTATTAAAATCTTTTTTTTTTTTTTTCATATGTCCATACATAATATGTCATTATTTGTACCTGCACTTGATATGAAATTGCAAAAAGCCAATTAATAAGTAGAACATGCTTTTGAAATTGTTAACTAGGACGAAATAAATAAAATTGTAGAGAAAGAAGAAAATAAAGACTACATCTTATCGCGAGATTATACACCTCTTCCCCCGAAGCGCGTCTGGTTTGTCATGAGACCTTGGCCATTCAAGCGGATAACTGCTCTTTTTGACCCAACACGTGATAAAAAAACAAAACAAAAAAAAAAAAAAAAAAAAAAAAGAAACGTCATACATAATATTAAACAAATGACCCGCTGGTTGGTACAACGGCGCGCGTGAACAGCAGACCAATGCACGCAATCAACGATGCTTCGTGTCGGCGCGTTGCGAGCCGTCACCTCTCTTTTGCACGACGGACTCGACGAGCTCCCGTGACGGCTGCTTCCTGTCGTAGGCCCAACCGACGAGGGCGAAAAAATCAATGATCCCCGTGGTCAGGTTGAAATCGTAGCCCACCTCCGCCGCCTTGTAGTCCCAGGGAAAAACGTGGTGGTAGTTGTGCCAGCCCTCCCCCACGGCGAGGAACGACACGAGCCTGTTCTCCGCGGGTCCTATACTCCTGCGTCAATCAACGACACCCACCCCCCCTTTTTTTTAGTATATACACGCATTTACGCGTGCGGTGGTGCATATGAGGAAAAAAAAAAAAAAAAAAAGTAAATAAAATAACGGCTGTTGTTACTTGTCGTAGGGCTTGTTGCCCCAGAGGTGGGCCGCGCTGTTGACGCTCCACGTGAAGTTCAGCGACAGCATGTAGCGCATGAAGCACTGCGACACGGCTGCCAGGTACCAGCTCTCGTTCCATAGGTACACCGGTATGGCGACCGGCAGCACGAAGGCCAAAAGTAACTTCAACGGCACGAAATACCTGAAAAAAAAAAAAAAAATAGTCACGCAGGGGAGCATACAGGGTGTACACATGTGTGCGTATATGTAACGGGGGGGGGGCTTTACTTTTGTGCGAATTTGACTACGGGATCTGCGGTGATGTCGCTCATGTCGACCTCGTTGCCCCTTCTGATGACTTCGGGGTGCTTTCGGAGCATGAGCCAGCCCACGTGAGCGAAGAAGAAGCCTCGGTTGCTGTTGTGCGGATCGGCGTCCGTCTCGCTGTATCGGTGGTGCACGCGATGGTCCCTCACCCAATCGTAAATGCTATTCTGCAACAAACATCATTCCTCTTGAAAACGCGCGTGTCAAGCGTTTCGTACAACGGGTCCATTGTTGTATTAATACAATTATACAAGCTGAACTCGTTTTTGGCCGATGCTCGACACAAAAGTGCCATTATGGCATTCGATTGTGATGTATTGTGAATAATGGAAGAAAAAAGAATAACAATATAGTCACCTGTCCGGCAGAGCAGTAGCATAGCATCAACAGCACGCGCATCGGTAGATTGGCCTTGTACGATCGGTGGGTCCAGTAGCGATGGGCGCCACCGGTCACCCCGAATCCACCCACCAAACCTAAAAGCATACCTGTCCCCGAGAGAGGAACAACGATATTTCGAGTACAACCTGGGCTCTGTACAAGTTAAACCATAACTAAATTTGATACTCTGGACTCACCCCACATTACTGTTCTCCAGTGGCTGAGATATGGAAAGGTCAGCAGGTAGTAGCACCCCAGCGAGTGCAGTACCACCAGGTAAAACGTGTTGGACCACTTGATGCTCGTTTTAAAGCCAAAGGGTCCTCGAGTCTTTTCGCGGCTATTGTATTTGTCGTCTTCGGCGAGGACTGCACCGTCCTCCGGCTCATCTTCGCGGGCCTTTCGCGCGGTCAGCTCGGCTTCACCGGGTCTGGTGCGCAAATCGGGATCGGCACAGGTGGCGTTGGGCGGCATCGCGATTCCAGTTTACGGTAAAGTGTAAGATACGTGGTTACTTTGACCAATACGTAAAACCTTCACTTTCCCCTCGAACAAAAATATGTTCGTTCGGATGGATTTATCGAAAGAATTGCGCTATCATAGTCACAACATTTATTTCGGGCACCAAGTGTACATGCAACCAAGTGGGTAGTAATTGGCAAAACTGCTTTGTTCGTGCACCAAAGTGCCGATGGTTTTTGCCAAACTGGCAAACGTCTCCTGGCGACTCGGCATTCCGCGCTTAAAATGCCCTATCAGCACATATTACATTTCACGGCTCACCTCCGTTTCCCTCGCCCCACCTCGCATAGCTCATTATTTTGCGTTATTTGTTATCATAAATATTTGCACTTACCTGAGTTTGTGCGCAATACACCGACGACACCCACTACTTTCCTCATAGGTATATACTTTAATTGTGTGCAGCTTTACTATTTTTTTTCTATTTCTCATGTTACTTTGTTTCCTATAGTATTGCCCAATTTTATTATGATAATTTGGGTTTTTTTTTTGTTGGTGAGCACCGGAATCGTGTTGGCGCGATGGATCGACGTTTTCCGAAGTTGTTTTACTTACCGGCGCGATATGTATAATTTTATTTTGCACGAGTTTCCACGAAACTCAAACGCGGTACGTTTTTACCGATAATTGCGATAAGTGTACTTTTAATTGAGGCACTTTACTCGAAAAGCGTATTATACTGTCAGCGATTCCGCAAAAAAACCTTTTTTTTTTCTAGCACGTTTTTGGAATACAGAGTTTTATCTTACGAATGTTTGCTAAAAAGGAGAGCAATTTGTGAACATAAGTTGAGTAAATTTTAATTTTTTTTCAACTTATTGAACCCTTTTTCTTATGAAACAGCAGAATAATAATAAAAAATTTTTTTGGTCTCGAATCGCGATTTGACGCCAAATATATTGAAAAGCTTGAAAAAGCTTTGAAAAAAATATGCATTGTGATGTATTTCGTGGTAACGAATTCTTCACAGTATTCGGTAGGTGGAGATTGTTGGCTCTAAAGTTTAAACCTGAAACAAAATTTAATTTAATTTTATAGGATTCGTTAAAGGGGTTTTTGCGTGGAATTGCTCATAAATATCCACAATCAACTTTTTTCCTCTTGCTTGTAAAAAAAAAATTGTCTTCCAAGTTTGTCAAGAATATCATTTTCAAATTGGCAAGGTCGTAATTAAGTATTATCTACAAGGTAAATTGGCTGTTTGAAAATAATTTGAAAAACAGTTTCAAGTTTAATAAATTCGTTACCTTAAATGGATGATAATTTTTCAAAAACAATTAGTCGATACACACTGATAAATTTAATTTAATGTAACAAATTTCAAATAATTGCTTTTACGTAAAGATACAATTTCAAACGTTGTAAATGTTGTAACGTAATTGTTTTTGAACCGAAACCTATGTGTGGACAAATTTTCAATTATTCACAATTTCACAAATATGTATATATGTATGAAAATTTTTTTATTTGCATGTACACTTGCGTGCGTAGAGACATTGAAAGAAAAAACAGTATTATTGCTCAACACGAATGTTCCGCAGGATTTTTATTGTGAGAAAAATTGTCAGCACAAATAAATTCGATTTTTTTTTTTTTAAGTCATTAGAAGTTAAGGGTATGTAATCTAATTAATTTTATCGAGAGTAAATTTTTAGATCAGCTCAAGCATAGTTTTCAACTGATTAAGCTCTAACAGGGAAGGTGACTCTTTTTTTCCTCATAGGAACGTGATTGGGATATTTTGCATATAAGTACCAGAAGCAATAAGTACAGGAAAAATGAAACTTTTCGGAAACTTGCGCTTATTTCGAAAGATAAACCATTTCCTAACAAACGCAATGTCTTCGGATAGTTTATGCAACTTTCGAGAATGTAATAGCTAAAATTTTAATTAAAAATAAAACATAATCATCAGAAAATATTATATCATTGTGTGGTGTATTAGTGTCCTCCTGTACTATTGTTAGTACCTAATGGAACGTAAAAATGCTATTAAAATTATAAGGATATTTCAAAAACGAAAATCGTATACTTAATAAATTTATCATTTATGGAAGTATGCGCGCGCGCACGTGTGTGTTATATACGTGTGTCAGTCCCCTCTAACCTCAGCGTTTATACACGCGTTATTTGACATTTATACAGATGGTGGATAAATAAGAGTATATTTATAAGAAGCAGGGAAACAAATAGGGGTACCGATATAATTATATTTTATTGTGTCGGTAAATCGTTAAAATGGTTAGTTTCATTTTACGCTTATTTATATTTTTTTACATTTAAGCTAATTCATTTGCAAGATTTTCAATAAGAGTTAATACATCAATACGTTTTAGCCTTCAGCTTCTGAAAAATCGGCAAAAGGTAAATCGGCACGTGTTGAAGAAACATTATTGTTGCATCCCAAAAGCAGAAAATGTCGAGCAGTGGTGAAAAAGTTACGCAAGTAAGATGTATTGAATAACATTTAAATAAACGACTACTTCATTGTAATTTAGTGCTTGTAACAAATTTGAATTGATTCTTTTTAGAGATACGAAGAAAGAAAGGAATAAACAAGAAACGAAACTGAAACAGTCTCTGATTGCCGACAAATTACTTTGGTTTCAGAAAAACATGGACTCAAGTGTATGTCCATACACAGTTGAACTAACTACTGCATTAGTTGAAAAGTAGGTGTACTGTAGAAAATATATATTAAAAGATTATTAAAATAAATATTAATTATTAACAGCAGTTGTAATTATACTTGTTAATAAGGTACATGGCACGTAATGATGAAGAATTGGAGCAAATCAATATAAAGCGTTCCATCGGAGTCCACAGAAATAAGCAGCACATTGGTCGAGAACAGGCTATTAATATGACTAAGGAAAGAGAAAGAAATGATTTTGAAAGCTGTGGATTAGGTAAGAATCTAAAAAAACGTTCATTGATTGAAATCTGAAAATAATTTTTACATTTTCTTCAGAAATTCCAGATATTTTAAACATAAGTCAATGCAGTATGCTCCAAAAATGGAATGGAGACTTGAAACTTATACCAGCTTTTAAATTCTGTCATTTCAAAAAAAGACAACTTGAGGATAAATTGAAAAAAAAACAAGAATCAAATCACAAAAAAGGTCGTAAGGAGCCACAAAATGATTGTACAGGAGAAGCTACCACTCAAAATCAAAGTGATGTAAGCAAAGTTGTTGATACAGAAATTTCAACCAGTATTAGTCAGACAACTGAAGATAAAATGGATGTTGAATGAATTTGTAAAGAGATAGGTTAATGCATAAAAGTTGAAGTATCAGCAAGTTATTAACATCCATTACATTTTCTTTATTTTTCATTCACAAAACAAGTTGTAACTGTACATATGTAAAATTTATTAAATACGGTTTTTAATAGCTATTAAACAGTTTTCATTGATTCATTGATTCTTAGTCACTTTACCGTAAACTCCAAGGATTCCCTTCGTCTTTTTAACTTTTTTGTTTTTCTTAATGTTACTTTTGAACTTATCTAGTTGAGTGGATGTAAAACCAGATGGTAATTCTTTAGATGCGGTTTCCCTTAATTTTTCTTGTTTTTTCTGTCGTAGCAATTTTTTGTAGTGTTTCTTTTTATTTTTTGGTGGCTCAGCACCTAAGCTTACAGCTAGTGCAACCTTAGCCTTGCGAGCCTTGCTCTTTTCAAAACCAGTCATACTAAACTTCATGATATCATGTTTAAATTTTCTCATTTCACTTTCTTGTCGTTTTTTTGCACTTTGTACACTGTCCTGATCACCACCACCGTTATCATTTGTCTCTTTTTTCATTGGTTTTTCGGATTTACCCCATTTGGGCTCTTCATAGTTAACAACCTCGACCAACTGGTCTGCATTTTTTTTGTTTTTGGAGCCAAGAGTTGGTATAAAGTCACCCATGCTGTAGCAAGTCAAAGCAAATTTTCAGCTCGTGCTGACAGTAGTCCTACAAATGATATGTAAAACCGAATAATCGAATACTTGTAAATGAAAAAGTATAAAAAATAGAGATACGTAGAAAAAAATTGTGTATATAATGTATACCTGACAGGTTTTGATATACTTATTGCGTGAATTAAGTGATGAAAATTATATTTACCTGGTTAAACGAACGAGCCTATAAATTGATTGATTAATTATTAACACTCGCGGGAAACGGACTTGATGCACGTGTTCTGTTGTTTTGATTTTACTCAAATGCCAGTGCTTATGTTGCTTGTCACAGGTTGGGTTAGTTGGGTACGATCGGAATCTGCAATATTGGCTGTCACAATTGTTTGCTCCCTTGGCTACTTACCGATTGAGTAACTTTCCGACAATACCGACTGTACATACCGATGTTTTAAATTGAAAGTTCCACTACTATATTATGTCACTTATTGTGAATTTATGAAATGAATTTTGTCTAATAATCCATAGATTGACCCGTTTGGACTAGATCTAACTACTCCAGTAAACAAAAACTCTTATTTATTTGAAAATAAAACAAAAATGTTTCAATTAGAGCTTTGATGAATATTCACCCAATACAAATTGATAAGTACTTGGATATTTTTTTTTATTGCATTCCTCAAAATGGGGTTACTGATATTCGCTCTTATGACTTTCGCATCGATACTTCAATTTAATGTTTATTAATGTGGGAATGGATCTGGTAATTCACTGTATACATAGAATTTTGCCTACGTATTAAATACTGAAGCGCAAAAATGGTTAATAAAGTTTGATGCCACATATATACCTACAGTGATGATCCCCATCATTATACATGTACATCACTAAAGAATTTAACGGTCGATTTTCAAGCGATGAAATTAAATAATATTATGCGTAATATCGTAATAAAATCACAGTACGTGTACTCGGTAAGTGTATATACATAAAAATAGTAAGGAATATGAAAAAACAAAAAAGAAGAAGGAGAAGAAAAAAGTGGCGGTAATGGTGAATGAATGTAGGTCAGAGGCGACGGTAAGCATACGTGTATATATATAAGTATATAAAAGTGTAAATGCCTACATAAATGTATTGGTACGGTTGAAAAATCCGGTAGCCGCAGGCCACAAAAGCGCCCGCGCGACGGCACGTTGAAATTCGGGAGAGCCGAGCCTCGCGGTCGCGCGTCTCTGGCACGGCAAAGCGCAAATAAGTAAGTAGGCACACCACGAGAGTATATAATGTATGTACATATATATATATATACATACGCGTGTATATACACAAGAAATCGAGGATTAAAGGCGGAGCGCGGAAAAAGAGATCGAGTAGCTTACGGCTTATGTGGTGCAAAACGTTTTACCACCGGGAATTCCAACGAGTCCGCGATGGCTCGCTTATAATACCTACACGCTCGCGTGTACCCTTTTTACCCGGTGTGACGGCGACCGTACGAAAAGGAGAGCGGAGAGTGGCTATGGCTCGCGGCATTTGCTCTCGGTGTATATATATACGTAAAGTCTGCATCGCGACGAGCGCCGCGAATGTAGGTTCCCGGGTCGTATCCACCTGTGTCCCCCCGTGCGCTTGTACGATGCGACGACGACCCACTGATCCTCGCCGGGTCTTTGGATTCGTTTCTTTCTTCGAGTCCGATGTCTTTTACACCGCGCGATCCTGCAAACGATGTATCGTTAATTATTTTTAGTACAGCTCATGGTCCGGCACCTGCAGCCGGTGTTTGGTCCATATGACCGGTTGGGGATCGGTTGTGCAAATCATCTCGCGTTTCGTCAATTTGTACAGTAGATGATACTTAGCGCTTGTCGGGCCATTTTCCGTACTTGTAGCGAAATCGGCTCGGCTCGGTATACACGTACCAATCGTTTACACATTATAGATGTATCTTGTCTGCCAACTTTGTACGCGAGTCGTGTCGCATAATTAAGAACCTTAATGCTTAATTATACCGATCTGCGGGCTAGCTGCGAGATACCGATCGTTTTACACATGCACATGTGCATGGGTATACAAGGTACACGTGCGCGTGTGACCTCGGAATTTAGCCGTAGGTATACGGAATATACGCGGACACACTCGAGAGGGATTCTAACGTCCAACAGGTTGCTCGATCGAGTCAAGTGTGTATTATTTGCACCGTCGCCGCTCCACCGTATATATCATATACATACCTAGTTTCGAGTTCTTTCAGCATCCCCCCCCCCCCGCGTACTATACTACTACGGACTACTGTACACATTCTAAGCGTTTTTCGCATTTCTCGGGGTTTTATTTTTTTTTAATTACCGCATACTTTGTACGGTTTTAAGTGCCCGTTGGCTAGTTTTTTTTTTTTTTTTTCCAACTCACACGGCTCTGTTCGACGAACGAATAATGCAATGTTGAACGGCACGGTGCGTCGCCTATGAATTTTAATGCGCCTTTAATATGGGGTCGCTCGTTCAATAGTTCCTTTTTTTCCTTTTCAAATAAAATATTGTCGCGAGCAAAAAAAAAAAAAGAGCTTCGAAAATAGAATAAACCGAGTCCCGCCAGAGTATACACATTGAAATAGTCGGTCGAGCGACAAATTAGCCGGAATTCCTGAACGCGTTTGAATATTAAGTTTGATCGCCGGTGCACCTAAAAAGAGAAAAAAAAAAAAAAAAAAATCAGCGCAAACACTGTTGGCTCCTGGATGTCCGACGACGAGCGGCGTCGAGTTTGAGACGTACCTTCGAAGACCCCGTGCACACACACACACACTGCACCCAGTAGAGGGAGAAGTAAAAGGAGGAAAAGTAGGAGGAGGTGGTACACACAGGAGCGGGTTAGCCGTGGCTTCACGGCAAAAGAGAGAGAGGGACCTTTCTCCCGGTATACCTGAAAGAGGTTCGCGCGGTGGCGGCCTGTCGCGAGCCGTCGCGGATAACCAGTCAGTTCGCAGTGCAACACCCGAGGGAAGCCAACGAGAGACAGCCCCCGCGGTCCACAGGAGAAAGCTTTATTTTCATTTCTCCGGGAGACTCGCGATAATCCACTGCAGCTTCGCCCGCCCAATATACCCACGCTCCTTGCCGATCGCTAAAGAGACAATCGGGAATAACGAAAACAAAAAAATCGAACCGGCTAAAAGAGAAAAAAAAAAAAAAGGGAGTGAAATACATACAATCGATACAACCGGTCTTTATAGTCGTTGTTGTTGCTGTTGTTAATATTGTTGTTGTTGTTGTTGTTGCTGCTGTTGTTGTTACTGTTATTGTTGTTACCGTTATTGTTGTTATTGTTAATAGTGTGCACCGATAAATTGCGATAAAAGGACAAAAAAAAAAAAAAAAAAAAAAAACAAATCCATACCGATACAGTGAGAGAAAGAAAGAAAAAAAAGCCCGTCTCAGATGCTCGTCGAGGCTCGTTACCCGCACGACTGAGGGTCACGGGCTGGCCGACACATGCTGCAAAAACCGGGCCCCCGCGCTACATGACAGCAGCCAGAGTTGATTCGCTTATCGCGTGCTCCACAGCCCTCGGCATGGGTGCCAAGACGGGGCCAGCCAGGCTCGTCCTGCTCGTCCTCGCCTTTGCCGCTGTCTCCGCGGCTACCACTACCGATCCCACCGATCGCGGTAAGTTACCAACCCTCGTACCCACACATACATACAATATGATACATAAATGTATACGCTTACCTGTTCGACGCGACTTACCTGCACGTCGTCCACATGCTCCCGCGGGGGTCAACCGCGCGCAATTCGATTTTACACTTTTACTTTTACACGTACGCGGCTGAGCTCCATGCGAGGCGTGGGCTTTCCAACTATAACAGCTGTTACGGGCGCGCGTGCGTGCAAAATTGCGACCGGCTCTCGATCATTTCAGGTATCACTGGTCCCTCTTTTCTCGCGTTTCGGGAAACATCTGTCTATCGGTTACAGAGTACATCTATGTACACCAAAGCGGTGGAGCTTGCGCTCGAGCTTTTCCATCGCAACGGCATTGCGATTTCCCTCGCGGCGCTGTTTTCGCACCGTTCGAAAGTCGAAATCTGGTTTTTTCCACCCCCCACCCCCTTTACCCAGTCGCCTGAACCCCCCCTTTACTGCAAATTGAAAGTCCGCCGAGTGTCGTTGGATATTGTTTGAATAATTTTCCCCAAGACGTATACGCTTTTCTGAAAGTTTAACCGAGTGGAAAAGAGCGGGGGTGTGTAACTCAGCCGGAGGATAAAAAGCTGAGGTCAATCATTTTGTCGATCGAGAGACGAGCAATGGTACGTACATAGCCCTCCGGCAGTGTCGTACATGGTTCGATGAAACTTTCTCTTTTATCTTATGTCGTATTTTTATGCCAAACCCACTGATTTGGCCTTTTTTTTTATTTTTTTTTTTTGAAAACTAATGAGTTAATGGGCCATATAATTTTTGAAAGTCCGCGCGGGGATCTAACACGTTGGGTTTCGCCACGGCTCGAAAACGAGAAGGAGCGTGCGTTTTATCCGCCGGTTCCATCGAAAATCCGTGATCCGATAGCGGTTACTTTCACCAAAAATATGCCGCCTCTGTCGAATTTGAGGTCAAGCGATGAATAATTTATCAATAAAAGGGAAAAAAAAAGAAATCATTTTCATCGTCCAGATCGTAACTTGGACCGTGAATTCATTACCGCGCTAATAATTAAACCATTCAGCTGTACTTTGGGAAAGCGATGGTTAAAAAAAAAAGGAGAATTGTAATTCGTGTACGATTTCAAGCCTAGGAGAATCACCATTTTGAAGAGGAATAATAATAGCAAACGATTTGATTGACATGGGAAAATACGAAACTCCAAAGGCGCGTTGCTGTATGCGGGCTGGGGCACAAGGGAGGGGAGAAAAGATACATGTATAAGTTAACACTTTGACCCAAGCAAATCCGCGGTAGGTGAGCAATCTTTCTTTTACACCTTCACTTTCGTCATAAAAAAAAAAAAAAAAAAAAAAAATCAACGTTCCCATTCTCCTCGATGTAATTTTATCGCTGCCGATGATGGTTGTATTTTATATCCTCCCACGGGGGGGCGCCTACTTTTTTGCTGGCGCAACAATTCATTTTGATCGCGATCGTTGATTTTAATTTAACGCCGCGGTAAAAGCCAACGCGCTCCTCGATGTGTATTTACATCTTCCGCCGGAAAGAAAATAACTCGTAATGGTTTTTTTTTTTTTTTTTTTTTATATCGATGGTTTTACATTCGAGGGGCACATCCCAGTGTTTACTCGGGCGACCGCTGTGCGCGGAGCGTGTAATTTTCCCCGCGTAACCGTTAGAAGACAATAATGAAATTATAGCCGTGGACGAAAGCGCCTGCCGTAAAGTGTATACCTATATACAAGTTGGACGGACGAAGGAGCGATGGTTACCAAAAAAAAAAATAAAATAAAAAAAAGAAGAGGAAGAACGCGTAGAAAGTTAAACTCTCCACGAGTAAAAAAAAAAAAAGAAAAGAAAAATAGGAATTTTTTGTCAAAATCCAAGAATGGATAACCCGCGTTGGCATAAACGTGGGTACTTTTAATCGTAGTGATGGGAAAACCTGAAAAAGTCACTTTTGCGAAATCCCGCCTTAATTGAAGAACCAGCCGGCGGTTTGGGTCGCCGTATACGCTTGCGAAACACCCTCCCTGCCTTAATACATATACGTATATCTCTCGAGATTTAATTTGAACTCGGGTAAAAAAAAAAAAAAAAATTATCTCGGCTTCCGAACCAGAAAATAAGAAATTTTTTCGTTTTTTTTTCCCCCTTTCCAATAAACTACCAGAGAATCGATGTATAATAGTTTGTTTTTTTCATTAATGATCGTCATCAGCGCAAACCGTGATTAATTGGCGGGACTTACGTTCGATATCCGTGAAAGGTCTCGCGGTAGTAATTTCTTGAGATGTATCCCAATGGACGATCCCTCTCTCACTCCGAATATCATTCAACTTTGGATTCATCGATGATTATGCGCGTGGGACGAGTTGAGAAATAGATATATGTACGTATGGTGGCGAGGGGAAAAAAAAAAAGAAAAACAAAGTGGTCAAATTACCATGAAAAGGCTCCGATGTATTTTCTTCCTTTGCGCTTACACGTACGGAATACTTACGACTTGTTATAGGAGTACGCGAGCGTTTACGTTTTTACGATTCGTCCGTAAATATATAATACCCAACCAGAAATTCTCGTTGCGTATACGTATCGTTCAACTGCGCTGGGAGGCCTATTTTTCAACTGTCGAGTAAAAATCCCACGCATCAAGTGCTCGCAGTTTCCATCCCTCCAAGGTCCACTCGTTGTTTAATTGCAAGTCGATGAGGCAAAAAGGGGCATCACCGGGTTCTGGGAACCGCAAGTACAGATTTTCTGAGCTCGCGGATGGAATTAGTTTGCATAGAGAGGATGAAATCATAATGTACAATAGAAGGCGGAGGAGGAGCCGCCGGTCGCTCTCTGCAGTTGGATGAAACGCAAGATGTGAAGGTACAGCGAGAGGCTGATGCAGTTTCTTCGGAGAGCCGAGCGGAGAGCACAAATGTTATAACATTATACACATATATATATATAATGTATATACCTTCCAAAAGTGTGTGTGCAGTACTCGCGAGTTTTGTACCCCAGTACATATATATATATTAATACAGGCACACACAAGTCGTTCCCTTACGTGAGTGATGCAATATTAGAAAGTCTTCCTTCACTTCTATTATATATTACCCATGCATGCATGCATGCGCCTATCTCTTCTTTTCCCTTCTCTTTTCTTCTCCCTGCGGCTGCAGCGGCTGTTGTACTTGTATATATACCTATACCACACGTATGTATACATTATAATATATACTGCCACTTATTCATCTTTTCGTCCTCGCCATCTGTATACGTATGCATTCTCCCTCTCCGACCCTAATTCGCTCGTTATACGTACCCTATGCACTGTGGTGTTGGCAATGTAGACCACCCGACCATGCAAATTGCGGCTTTAATTTTCTTTGTCTTTTCGAAATTTCGCTAAACTCGAGCGCGCTAATGAGCGAGCGCAATCCTTGCCTCAGCCGAGGGAGACAAGAAGAAGAAGAAAAGATGTTGCGAATGTCTTGCGAGGTGGGTACACTCGGTGAACTTTGATTCTTCTTCTTCTGGAAAAAGTTTAGGTATATATGTGTGTGTATACCTACTCGGGTTGGATAACTTGACGAGAAAAATCGTACTCATTTGTTGGAGAATTCCACCTGATGGAGTTGCTCCTAAGAGGGCGAGAAACGCGGTACAAACTATAGATGTACTTTCGAGCGCGTTTTGAGGAATCGTAGTAACGTAATCGTCGAATCGTTGGAAAATCGGTTGGTTTTTGTCGTCTCCATTTACCGATCGCCATTCATCGCATCGGACGATTTACCGATCCACGGTACATGGTGACCTCGTTTCTACTGCGCATTTTAACGAGTGAATCGTCCGATTATTGAATTTGAGACATACTTATGTACCTGTGTGACGAACACGGGATAGCTGTATGGATAAAAATGAGCAGCCAAAGAGAATCGGTTACGGGCGAGCCGGCGACACAGGTGCATGCGTAAGGGCATGATCGCGACTCGCGATCGGGAGCAGGAAAACGGGAAACGAGCATAAAAAGAACGAGGAGGATGATAGTTGTTTGTTGTGACGGTGCTGCTTCTGCCGGTGCAGGTATGGGTGTATGGAGGAAAAAATGGGGGGGGGGGCGCAAGATCCGAGAAGATCGGTTTGCCGCTAGAGACCCAGTAAGCGCGAGAGATACAGAGATTCCCCACACGTGTACATGAGATACACACGCTGAAAAAGAGCGAGCAAGGAAAAAGATTGAATTGCGCTACCTAGTCGCGGAGCTGCTCGACCTGCTCGAGTTTAATCTAACTGTAACTCTCCAAGCGCTATACGTGCAGTACCTATATACTTGTACATATTGTATGTATGGATGTACTCCAGTGAGTACTTGTATCTTTCTCTCTTTTGGCCTCCCGTCCTTTCCACGACACTCTATTACGTATTTGTACACAACGTCTCCTTCTCCAGATCTTGTTTTTTTCGTTAACTCGCACTCGTCGTCCGTGGCATCGGGTATGCGTGTAAGGAAGTAAAAACCAACCCTCCGCAAAACTGGAGCCTCGTCGTACCCAACGAAACTTTTCTACTCGCATCCTCGGTCACAGTATAGCCGTAGCTTTTGATCGAAAGATTTTTATTTTAATGGATGGGATCGCTGAGGTTTTTCCGTATCGGTGCAAAAGACACGGTTATTTACCATTCGAGAAGAATACGTAACGGGCCGATTCGATCATCGGTGCTGCGAAATCGGATGCGCTCAGTAATTACATTGTACTCACAAATTCAGGGATGTATGATGCTATAAATGTTATAAATCATATGCTCATCACTTTGCTGCTTGACGTACCTTTTCCCCCATGTACACGTGTATATGTATGGATCTATGTATACCTATACGTGCATGATGCTCTCTGTTCACGTAACTCGAGCAACGTTCTGTTCTATGCACTCCCGGGGAGACAGTACTGAGAACCAGGCCAAAATGTTAAGTGTTTCCCATCATCTATGAGGAGCACCGCGTA